AAATCTGAAACGTTGGTTGAGTATCACAGTGAGAGCTATGTCACCCAACTTTATAAGAAATCAAATCAAAATATCTTGCGTTTAAGCAGAGAGGAATTATATCTCATCTGCTAGGCTGTTCTTTAGTTTACTAAAACACAGGGCTATCAGTTCTCAGAAACTATTTCAATTGTTACCTTGCATCATTCGTTCGACGAGTTAGCAAGAAGTAATATAGCACTAAAAAGTCCTTGTGTGGTAATTTTAAGTTGTCTGTTCTTCCTACTTGAATATAAAGGATTTTGGTCTAAGCATGCGTAATAGTGTTGCAATTCGTATACAAGCCTTATAAACTATCCTCTTCGTCATCGCATCCAAATTACTGCCTCTCAAGATGTTTTTATAGCGCTTTTGTCAGAAGCCCGGTACTGCGTAGATTTTGCAGAGGAACTTGGTAATCGCTCTACTGCTGGGGTACCGAAGGCTACCGCGTTATCGCCTAGTGGAGCCGCTGGTTTTGCTGTCAAGGCCATTTACGACTACACAGCAGCTGACAAAGACGAGGTGGTTTTGAAATTTCAAACTCTTGTAGTTCTTTTAGTTTTGATATAGAAATCATCATGAAATTTTTTTCACATTTTCACGCTGACGATCACCTCTTATGACTGTTTGAATATTCTGCTTTTTCAGGTATCATTTATGGAAGGGGACGTAATCGTGAACTGTGAGAAGGTGGATGATGGTTGGATGACTGGTACTGTTCAACGCACATTACAATGGGGCATGCTGCCAGCAAATTATGTTCAACCATACAAGTTGCCGACAGGACTTGGCAGGATTAAGTAGAATTTTTTTCCATCATTCTTGAAAGTTTGATAAGCTTATGAAAGTCAAATTACTGGACCAGTTTTCTTTTATGCTTTTGGCTTAATAACTCGCTCTTGTTCTAACTGCATAATTTTCCCCATTTTATCTTTATTTACTTGTTCCCCACTATATATATTTTGAATACTTCTATCAGATGTTCATCTCTATCTTTCCTTTCTGTAATTCCTTCGTTTCAGTGCTTTACACATCCCCCATGCCAATATTATGTTGTGCTAATGTCAGCATATTCTTGCAAAGTTTGTTAACTTGATCAGCTTCGTATGGTTTTGTAAATAGTGAGAGCCACATATTCTATTGTCGGGTTTTTGAGATATTTATATAAGTGTTATTTGAGCAATCCTGAGGTGCTTTGTTCTTTGGCGACTTTTGCGTAGTACTTCGCTGAGCTACTGAGCTATTATCTTTCCGACGTCATATGCCGCTTTGTGCCTCATTTCGATTGGTGTTAATCCTTTGTTCTGCCGATTCATATGTTTGAGAGTGATATTATACTTACCCTTCATGAGATGGTAAATTTCCTTCACATTCATTCAACTTCTCAATTCTTTGGAATTCCATTAATACTTTGATTCAAATGAGTGACGCAGAAATAGTGTTCACTGAGTGTTTATACTTGTGTAGGTGCGTAGAAGAGGTTATCTCAAGTCAAGCACCTCGTGTTTATCATGGCTTCATTCGACGATGAAGAGCGTCGCGCGAAGTATGCAGTCGCACCAAAATCTGCCAATCAAGGAAAGGTAGTGTAGATTCTGCTTCATGTTTATCGGGCACACATTCCAAGTCATCATTCTTATTCATCTTTGTCAAGATTAGCTATAATTGGAAAACTGCAAATGTTTGCTACCATATCACCATTAAAAGTGAAGATAATATGAATGAGTTTTCTTTTTGGTCAGACGTTACTACCATTCTTGCAGCAGTTGTTCATTCGTTGAAAACATTTTGTAGGCTATTTTTGTGGTAGCTAAACAGCTGTCATAGGATCTCTAATTCTTTGATTTGTTTTGTTCAGAAAATTCTGAGAAGAAACACTCAGTAATCTAAGCCCAACAATATATTGGCTAGACAATTGTAGCAAGAGAGAGCTTTGCTAATTAAACCATAAA